TAAATCCAAACGATGGCCATTTCGCTTTATTAATGAATCAAAATGGAAGCATCACATGGTCAATGAACTACTGCAAGTGAGTTTGAATACTTCTATGATTAATGTTATTTGGGGAATTAAGAAAGGAATTCATTTCATATATAGTTGCTGTTTTCTCCTCCTTCATTGTGCTGATGTCTTCAGATCACCTGTAAACTGACATTAAACTCATTTCATGACTGTCAGCTGAGACAAACTTCATCATAAATCTCTCAACAGCACGTCATTATCGTCTGATAAACCATGTTATCTGCTGCTAACTAATTTATTTCTGAATTTGTGCATTCATATTGTTTATTCTTGTCTTTTCTTTGTTTCATTTTAAAACGGAGCACTACTTTATTGTCTTTAATGTGAGATGATTCTCTATTATACGCAATGCTTGGAACCCTCAGCTGGACAAAGTAATGATGGACTCAAAAACCAGTTGGACACGGAGCCTATATACATAAAGAAGCAGAAACTGTAGAACAAGTATTAATGCTACACCCTGATATGAATTGAAAGAAATGAAAGAAACAAATAAATACAAATCTCTGCATGTGTGACATCTGCAATAAACATGATAGATAACAGTCCAGGAACAGTGAAAATAATAATGCAGTGTTGAAATGTATTAGGTGTAATATCCAGGCTCCAGTGCAGCAGGTGACAGTAACTGTTCAGCTCGCTCCAAACCCTCCAGAAAAACCCACGAAGAAGACGAAACCGAAAACGAAAGTAACTGCGGAAAACATGGAGATAGCAAGAGAAAGCGTTGCTCGCTGGATTGAAGCTAATCTGTCTCCAGAGAGATCCATCAATCTGTTCTACTGTCTGAATGAACTGAACGACCAAACTCTGGTGAAAGACATTCAGACCCACCTTAGCAAAGGAAGCCTCTCATCTGCTGATCTTTCACCTGCCCAGTGGTCTGCTTTGGTCTTTGTGTTGTTGACATCAGAGGAGGAGCTGGAGGAGTTTGAGCTTCAGAAATTCAAGAAATCAGACGAGTGTCTCATTAGATTATCAGCAGTCATCAAAACCTCCAAAAGAGCTCTGTAAGTTATTTCATATATTTTGTCATGTTTTGTGCTCCTCTTAAAAAATGCATTTATCTGCATGGATACATAGCAGGTTTGGACACCTCTGATCTATAGTGATTATTAACCATATACCAGTTATAAGTGTATATCTATTATAGGATTAAATCATAAGACATTTTGTTTAACTTTTTTTTTCTTTAAAAATTACAGTCCTTTGGAATTACTGTTCAATGGTATTTTATTAGATTGACATGGGTTGTATGTAGAAATTTCTCTTTTCAGCAAAACAAGCTGTTTAGTTAGCTGCAGAAGAAGCACATCATGTTATTATAAAACACATTGTTCCATAGTTATTTCTACTCCAATATGCAGTTCAACTTCTTAAACTTCTGCTATAAAGGAGATATACTCTTGCATAACCTCAATGCATAAATTATTAACCTCCATATTCTCCACCTCAAGACACTCATCAAGATAATAGAGCAGCACTTTTAAATGTATAACTTATTACCATTAATGATATAAGCCTATTATTCATTTACATATTTTATTAAGTTTTATTCAAGCATGCTAGTTTGTTTTATCTAGGAAACTTGAATCAATACATATCTAATATATATGCAGTATCGTTACTGTTTATGTAAAAATAATTGGTATAATTATTTTTTTGTATTTAACAAATGTATTACATGTATCTTAACTCTGATTTGATTTATTTCTCTTGTAGGCTAAATGATTGTGACTTAACAGACAAAAGCTGTCCAGCTCTGGCTACAGTTCTTGGATCAGAAACCAATCTGAAAGAGCTGAACATGAACAATAATAATCTGCAGGATTCAGGAGTGAAGCTGCTCTGCACTGGACTGAAGAATATAAATTGCAAATTAGAGATACTGAGGTAAGTTTTGTGACAATCCCTAGTGTTTGGTTAGAATTCAGATCCATCTGTAAACATGGACCTAGATAATCTGCCACAGAATTGAGGACAGAACTGCTTCAGCTCAGTGAAATTTGTAGGCTTTAATTCCAGCATGAACTCTACATTTAAGGTCCTACCACAGCATTTCAATGTGGTTTAAGAGTGGACTTATGTTAGGCCATTTCAAAACTTAAATTTTCTTGTTTTTCAACCATTTTGAGGTTGTTTGTATGTTGTGGTTCATTTAGATGAAAGACTTTCACAGCTGTTGAGTTTTAGATAATTGAAACCTTAAAGGGGTCATGTACTGCATTTTTTAAAATTATTTTATAATGTTCTATGTGATGCACCTATAATATTAGGAAAATTTTTACATCAAAAAACATAATTTAGGTATAATAGGCTATTTTGTATCCAGGTTTTGACCCTCTCTGCAGAACAGTCTGTTTTTATAGACGAGGCACATTCAAGATGCTAAAGTGAACGCCCACTGCTATGATTGGCTAACAGTTTTGTATATTAATACAATACAATACCATTTTTATTTGTAAAGCACATTTTAAAACAACCGAAGTTGACCAAAGTGCTGTACAGAATAGAATAAAAATTCAGAAATAAAATTAATAAAACAAGACTATTACATTTAAAACACAACAATAGCAAACAACATTTAAACCAAAGATCAAGGGGTATTGAAAGCTAGAGAGAATAGATATGTCTTTAGAGCAGACTTAAAAGCAGAAATAGAGGGGGCTAATCTAATATGAAGAGGTGGACTGTTCCAGAGTTTCCGACCTGCAGTTGCAAAATCTCGATCACCTCATTTAAGTCTAGATCTAGGCACGATGAGTAGACAGAGATCACTGGATCTCAATGTTCTAGAAGAGGTGTACGGATGAAGCAGGTCAGTCAGGTACTGAGGGGCCAAATTATTTTGGGCTTTATAAACAAATAACAGAATTTTAAAGTAAATTCTATATTTGATAAGTAACCAGTGCAGTGCAGATAAAATAGGAGTTACTGGCTCATACTTGCAGGTGCCAGAGAGTAGTCTAGCAGCTGTGTTTTACACTAGCTGTAGACGAGAGAGGGAAGACTGAGAAACACCGTAATAAAGTGAATACCAATAGTCTAAATTAATGTAGTTGTTACAAAAGCATGGACCACCGTTTGGAAGTTTAAATTGTGATCAAACAGAATGCCCAGATTTCTAGCACATTGAGTTACATATGGAGCCAGAGAGCTACAGTCAACATTTAACACACAATTTTCCTTATGGCCAAAAATAATTATTTTGGTTTTATTTTCATTTAAATTAAAAAATCATCAGCATATAGATTAAAGGATACTTTATATTTGTTAAAAAATGGAAGCCAGAGGTAACATGTACAGGGTGAACAATATCGGCCCAAGGATTGATCCCTGTGGAACTCCACAATTAAGACATAAACAAGAGGAGGTCTGATGACCAATGCAAACACTAAAACATCTGCTGGTCAGATAAGAACGGAACCACTGTAAGACTGTGCCACGAAGGCCCACAGATGTCTCCAAACGTGTCAACAGGACCTCATGGTCAACCAAATCAAAGGCAGCACTCAGATCTAATAAAACTAAAGCCATGAATTTCCCAGAATCAGTCTCTGTAAAAATATCACTTGAGACTCAAGGGCAGATTTAGTACTGTGTAAAGCTTTGAAGCCAGATTGAAACATCTCATGAACAGAACTAACAGCCAAATAAGATTGTAATTGAGTCAGTACAACTTTCTCAAGGGTCTTTGAGATAAAGGGTAGATTCAAATTGGATGAAAATTGGAAAGAGAAGAATGATCCAGGTTTTATTTTTTTTTTTTAAGAAATGGCATCACCATAGCGTATTTAATTATGTTCTGGAAGGAACCAGTAGACAAACATTTGTTAATAACAAATAACACATCAGGACCAACTGTGAAAAGAGATGGAATAATATCCTGAGGACAGTTAGTTGGTTTTAGGTGACCAACAATTTCATTACATGAGGTCAAATCAATAGGTTCAAACTCAGACCAGGTAGAAGAACATAATGGAACGTCATGCAAAATGTATACTGAGTTAGACAGCCGGGATCTTAATTGTGTGATCTTCTCAAAAACTTTCCAAAACCATTACAGAGAGAAGCAGAGAGGTCTAGAAAAGAATGCACAGAGTGATTTAAGACAGAATTAATAGTAGAAAAAAGAACTTGAGATTTGTGACAATTGTTTGTGATAAGTTCAGACAAATATTGCATTTTGCAGCTTTCTGAAATATGTTATAGGAGTTCCTCAAAATCTGCAATCTGTCCTTCTTCCATTTGCGTTCAGCCTGTCTACAAGTGCATCTCAGAGTATGTGTAGTTTCAGTAGTGACACTCTCTGCAGAACCTTATAAATAATAAAGTCCTTATTATGGTGAGGAGGATGATATATTAGAGCTGTAGTAAAGGGATTTACTAAGACTAACTGTAAAAGTTGCACCTCAAAACTGTTATATGAGCCAGTAGATCGAGAACGTGCAAGATGTCTTTAAAAACAGTAGCAAGGCCACCCCTGCGGCCCTATATACGACTACACTGGATGTGGAACAGATTGACATGACAAATCTCTGAGAGTAAACTGATGTTGTTCTATTTCTGACGTGCTCCAAGTGCTGGCACTGCTTCTGACATGAAAGAGAAATGGATTCGCAATGCCACAATGTTTGTGACCGGTGTAGATCTGATGTTAGGATCACAAGGAAGGCAATGCAAAGATTTTTCACCACTTACACTACACAGTATCTTGTAATCCTGTTACATGTCAAAAGATCAAGGGAAATGTAATTTCTCAGTTTATGACCCCTTTCAGTAACTGTAAACTAAAGGTTCTCATTATTAAAATCAAAAGTTGTGCTTGTTAACATTAGTTAACGCTCTGTGAATTAACATAACCTAACAGTGAACAGCTCTATTTTCATTAACTAACATTGTCAAAGATTAATAAATACTGTAATGTATTGTTCTTTTTTCTTTGTTAATACATTAACTAACATTAACAAATGGAACCTTATTGTGAAGTGTTACCATACTTTGTATTTGTGAATTCATTTTAGGCTGCGTGATTGTGGTCTAACAGAGGAAAGCTGTTCAGCTCTCGCTACAGTCCTGAGATCAAACTCCAGTCTGAAAGAGCTTGACATGAGCAACAATAATCTGCAGGATTCAGGAGTGAAGAAACTCCAGAACGGATTAGAAAATAAAAACTGCACATTGAAGAAACTCAGGTGAATGTAATGAACCATTGTTTGGTTTTAAAGGGGTGGTTGATTGTTTTTTTTCTAGGCTTGATTGTGTTTATGGGGTGCAGTCTAACGTGTTAATGCTTCGTTAAAAAAAAAAAACATTATTTTTCAGATAATTTACCTTTATTCGACATCGCTCTGTCCCTTCTCCCATAAACGTGCTGATCATTTGCTGGTTTTATATAGCCCCTCCCTCAGAAATGCATGATGGGCTCAGATTGGTTAGCTAGGACAGTGTGTTGTAATTGGCTAAACCGCCTCCAGTGCGCGTCTAATCGTCCCACCCCTCAGCTCAGCAGCATGTGCTCCGGTTGTATTGTAAACATATAGGTGCGTTTCCATTACCCTTCAAATTTCGCAAATTGAAATTGCGAATTGAAAATGCGCCTAATGGAAACACGTAAATTTCGCAAAAATGCCCATATATCGCAAAAACGTTTTTACGCTCGCATGAGGTAGTTTTTCAGGCAATGCGAAAAAGGAATAATTCACAAAACTGCAATGGAAATGTTTTTTTTTCACATTTACAGGTCACATGGTGTATGTAAAAAGTCATATCATTCTTCAATATTCTATAACCTCCAAGAAACACTTCATACGTGGCCGCTCTCCAGTATAAGGGGTTTTCCCTGCCATTAATGCTTAGACAGTTTACACTGCACATGTCTGCAGTGCAGTGTGGCTCTGATACGGCCACTGAAGCTGATTGCGGCCACTCTGGTTAATGCTTCTGTTTATTCTAGCCGTGCCACGCACGTTTCTGAAGCATCTCTCTGTGCTGCTTCTGTAAAGATACACGCATACGACTCCTTTGAATAAATATAGCCAAAATCCGTCAAAATCACACCAAAAACCATTGACATGACTTATCGCGAGAGGCAAAAGGTTACATTTTAGTCGCATAACATTGGTTCCCCTTCGGGAACTCGAGCTGCGTCGGAAAACGCTAGGGGAACGCCTTCAGCGATACCAAGCTCTGAATCATATGTGTAATCAGTCGAACGATGGGCGAGACGTCCGCGGCGGGTGACGTCATGACCAGGAAGCTTTAAAAGCACGTGAGGTGCCACCGGCGCTAGCTTTCTGTCATTCAGCGAAGCTCTCTGTGTGTGTCGGTCACGATTTATGTTCTGTGAGTCTTATTTATTGTTGTCTGTCCAAAGTCTATAAGCTCCAGCTATGTCTAAGCTCATGCAAGGACAAAGCATTTCAAGGCGAGAGCAGGCCACGTTGTAGGTTGTGTGTTCCTCCCTGCCCAAAGATAAAGTTATATCACGAGTGGGGACACACACAGCCTGTGCGTGGTTTGCTTGCGAGCGAAGCATAGTTGTTACTGCCTTGCTTCGCTCTCAGAGGGCTCTCTTTGAGGAGGGAGCTTTCACTAGCGTTCCTCGCGGTGCCGGCCCCGCTTTCGCCGAGGCGGAGCGGCGGCTGTGCTCGTGGGTTTCGCGTATGGATCTGCTAATCACCAGATCCAGCGCCCGCTCTCGGGGTTCGGAAGCATCGTTCAACTGATTACACATATGATTCAGAGCTTGGTATCGCTGAAGGCGTTCCCCTAGCGTTTTCCGACGCAGCGTCTCGTTCCCTCTGGGAACCATGGTTACATACATAACCTGGGACGTTAATGGTCATTTCACAATACTTTTATTGACAATTATAAACTATCGCCAAAGTTTTGCGCAGATTTGTAATGGAAACGTGCCTAATGGCATCATCAATATTGCTTATCAGTTTGAGCCCGATTGAGACGCAGAGGATATTAGTGAAGAGGATCATGCAGAACCTGTGCAAGCACAGCTCTTAATGATGTGTTTTTTGATTGTTGTTGTGGCCTCATACTTTTAGATACACTGTTATTTGTAAATGCTACTGCTTCTGTTAGCTTTTAATATTTAATACACATATATGAATAGATATTTACATGTACCCCTAGTTTTCTTCCTCTTCTCTAATGCAGCGCAGTACGGCCTCGCCCCCTTTGCTGCATGTTCCCGGGGGCGGGGTTTGTCTGGGTTTGTGATGTCACAAACCCGGGAAGTAACTCGTTGTAGTTCCTATGAGCCATTTTTGTAGGCATTAAACTGCCAGAATTTTAAAAGATGATATCTCCGTTTGCATTGAACTTTCAGCACCGCAACTTTGCAGATATTGTTTATGCTCAAACAGCAACATTACACACTAACTAATGTTAAAAAAGTGAAATCGCAATCAACCACCCCTTTAATAATAACATTCTCTTTTGATCAAAATGAAAATAGTACTACTGTAATCTAAAATAGGAAAGACATGCTCCTGTCAGATGGTAAAAAAAAAAAATTCTTCTCCGATCAGAAGAGGAAAGATATTACACATTTTTGTTGTGATATTAATCATATAACTTTAAAAATAATAACCTTTTTTAAATAGACTCTCAGACTGCAGTATCACTGAAGAAGGTTATAAAGCTCTGTCTTCAGCTCTGAGATCAAACCCTTCACACCTGATAGAGCTGGATCTCACAGGAAATGATCCTGGACCATCAGGAGTGAAGCAGCTCAGTGATTTACTACAGGATCCAAACTCTCAACTCAAGACACTGAGGTGAGACGGGATGAAATAATGCTAAATAAGTTATATTCAGGTGAATTATTTATATAAATATTATTTCACAGTTGCAATAAAGTAAATTAAAAATTTGAATGTATGTAGTTTGTATGTAGTTTCAGAATCAGATGCTGTTTTCACCAAGTTTGGTTAAGAACTGAATTGAATCCAGCTTCATCTTCTCTTCTGCAGGTTTGTGGGTCCTGCTGCAGATGAAGCCTGTCAGTATGTGACTGGAATTGTGGGTAAAAACCCGTTACTCCTGAGAGAGCTGAATCTGAGTGGACGTGAACTAGGAGACACACGAGTGAATCAGATCTCTGCTCTACTGCAGGATAAACACTTTACACTCAACACACTGATGTACGTTTTTCATTGTTACAAGGACGCTTTTAAATTCTTAAATTTAATTTAAGAAATTGAAATTTTAAAATTCTTGCTGCTGGGTGTTTTTATGTGTCTTGTGTAAGAGATTGCTGACTGAAAAACCATATGTGACTTTTGTAATGTGGTTATCATCATCATCATCATCATCATCATCATCATCATCACCAGTATTTGTCAACTGTCAGCTGAAACATACTGGTAAATATTCAGATTGCTGCTTGTTCTATGTAGCGTTGTAAGTATGGTTTAGGCTTAAGTATTGTACTGTAAAATACAAAATATTATTATAATTATCAAATAAAAAATAATAATTTCACAGTATGATTATCATGCAAATCTCATATTGGCAGATAAAAGTAGTAGCTAAAGCTGCTGTTTGTGTAATTGTATGTGTAGCTTAATTAGTTGTGTTCTCTCTTCTACAGGTTAAACTGCATCAGTATTACAGATGAAGGTTGTGCTGCTCTGGCATCAGCGTTTAATTCAAACCTCAGAGAGCTGGATCTGAGCAGGAATCAAATAGCAGACTCTGGAGTGACAGAAATCTCCAGTCTGCTGAGAAATTCACAGACACTGCAGATACTCAGGTCTGAATTTGATTAATCTAAACACGAATCAATGTAAAGCTCCAGCTGGTCTGTAAACTGATGCTGTGTCACAAGGAATGGGTCAGTAATGTGAAACTGGTGTGTTGGTGTAGATACATTTATACAATATTGACAAACAGATTGATGTTTTGAGGTGATGGAAAATGTTAATATCCTAATGGTGTAATAAAAGTTTTTATGTATTTATTTAGTCTTTCTGTAGACTTTCAGACTGCAGTATCACTGAAGAAGGTTATAATACTGTTGCAATCAAAATTATTCAACCCCCTTGACCTGCAAGGCATTTTGCTGTGGAGAACAACATTTTATGAAAATAATTCAACAAAGGCATCAGTAAAGTATTAGAGAAAGTTTGTTAATACACTTTTGAGTGATTCTGAGAATGGAACATTGATGAATCATGATGCAATTCAAACTGGTTCTAAACATTCATGTTCAAAATTATTCAAATTTTGCACAGAATCTTTTATTCTTTAAAATCACCAATAAACGCTGCCTGTAAGTGCTTAGAAGCTTCTGTCACCTCTCTACTACAGTCTTGGCCCATTCCTCGCCTGAAAAAGCTTCCAGATCACTGATAATCTTTGCCCTTCACATTGCCACTGCTTTCTTTAAATTCAACCAGATATTTTCATTGAGAATTAAATCTGGAGACTGAACAGGCCACTCAAGAACATTCTATGATTGATCCCTGAACCAAGCAAAAGTAGATTTGGATGTGTTCTTTGGGATGACTGTCCTACAGGAAAGTCCTTTGATCATCAGCTTCAGTCTTTGCACCAAAGGCATCACAATTCTTGTCAAAATGGCCTGATACTTCAAAGAATCCATGATGTCCTTCATATCGTCATGATTTCCACTTCCCGCTACAGTAAAGCAACCCCATAACAGCACTGATCCACCTCCAAGTTTGACGATGGAGATGGTGTTCTTCTGCTTATGAGCTTTGCCTTTTTTGCAGCAGACATACCGCTGATCCATGGGTCCAAAAAGTTCCAGTTTGGTCACATCACTCCATAAAGCATTCTTCCAGAGCTCCACAGGTCGACACAAATGAATTTTAGCAAGTTCAAGTCGGCCTTTTGTTCTTCTTGATCAGGAGAGGTATTCTGCAAGATGTCTCAACATGAAGGCCATAATGAATAATTATGACATAGCTCTGTTACTAAAAAATATTACATTTATATTTTGATATTATGTCTTTTAGTATGCCAGTGAACTGTTATAGATGCAATTGTTATTTTATACAGGATCTTCAGAAAAGCTTGTATTTGCAAAGTACTGCAGTCTCTGAGGAGTTGAGTAATTTTGATCGCAACTGTAGGTTATAATTGTGGAAAATGAAAATGCAAAAAACTTTACCCAGCTCTTCTCTAGAACATGTACTTGTATGATAATCTGTGTTATAAGGAAGAATAACATCTTTGTTTAATAGACTTTCAGACTGCAGTATCACTGAAGAAGGTTATAAAGCTCTGTCTTCAGCTCTGAGATCAAACCCTTCACACCTGATAGAGCTGGATCTCACAGGAAATGATCCTGGACCATCAGGAGTGAAGCAGCTCAGTGATTTACTACAGGATCCAAACTCTCAACTCAAGACACTGAGGTGAGACGTGATGAAGTAATGCCAAATAAATGATACGCATGTGAATTATTTATATTATATATAAATATTATTATATTATATTATTTCACTTATTCAGTAAGGTACACAATTTGATGCATCAAAAATGATCAAACATGAAAGACCAGATGCTGCTGTTGTTCTGATGATAAATGTCAGCACAGTTTAGTTGTGTTAAAAGTTACAGCTTAATCAGACATTTTGTGTCACTAGATGTGCTGGTATTCAGTAGTTTGGTGCCTCGATAGTTAACATTTATGATTGTGTTATTGTGGAAAATATTTAGTGTGACTTATTATCCTGATTGTTTAAATGTTTCTGAATGCACTGTACATTAATTTCCATCAAGCTCAGATTCATAACACTGTAAATCTACTACAGCAGATCTATCACAGGCAGTATTGGTGATAATTGTACACACAAACACACACACACACGCGCGCGCGCGTCTGAACCTGCAGTTTCTCTCATAATGAGCAGAATTACTGTTGCATCAACACAGACATCAGTTAAATAAAACTATCCAGAGATGGTCTAAACCCAGATCATGTTCTCTGTTAGTGGATCAGCAATCCAGTGTTTTGTGATGCAATGCACATTGAATTGAATCCAGCTTCATCTTCTCTTCTGCAGGTTTGTGGGTCCTGCTGCAGATGAAGCCTGTCAGTATGTGACTGGAATTGTGGGTAAAAACCCGTTACTCCTGAGAGAGCTGAATCTGAGTGGACATGAACTAGGAGACACACGAGTGAATCAGATCGCTGCTCTACTGCAGGATAAACACTGTACACTCAACACACTGAAGTGAGTATCTTACATCATTTCACATGTTACATGACTAGTAATGTTACAGTAGTCTATTTTAATTCTCATTTGAGTCCGACCCCACTTTATAAAGCTTGGAAGAGCCAGGACATTTTTTAATATAACTCTGATTATATTTGTCTGAAAGAAGAGCTTCATATACATCTAGGATGGCTTGAGGGTGAGCAAATCATGGGGTGGTTTTCATTTTTGGGTGAACTATCCCTTTAAGTGCACAGCGGTTGGAGAAAATAATGTGAACACATTAGAAATAGCCAGTATTTTATTAATGTGTGTAGGATATCAGACCGAATCAGACAATCTAAGATTTGGTCAAAACCGAGTTGAGGCACGAGGAGTCACAAAAATTCCACAG